GATACTGATACTGCGCTTAAGTGCCAGTATCCGTACAGATACCAATACGATAAACATCAAATAAACAAACATTACTTACCGCCGCCCTTTAATGGTGTTATTAACAAACATCAAATAAACAAACGTTACTCACCGTCACCCTTTAAAGGTATTATTAACGAACATCAAATAAACAAACGTTACTCATCGCCGCCCTTTAATGGTGTTATTAACAAACATCAAATAAACGACTGTTACTCATCGCCGCCCTTTAATGGTGTTATTAACAAACATCAAATAAACAAACGTTACTCATCGCTGCCCTTTAAAGGTGTTATTAACAAACATCAAATAAACAGATGTTACTCATCGCTGCCCTTTAAAGGTGTTATTAACAAACATCAAATAAACAAACGTTACTCACCCCCGCCTCCTAAAAGTTTTATTAGTAAGCATCGAAATATTAGCTAACATCAAATAAACAAACATTACTCACTGCCACCCTAAAGGTGTTATTACCGAACATCAAATATTAACAAACATCAAATAAATAAACGTTATTCACAGCAGCCCTCTAAAGGTGTATTAACAAACATCAAATATTAACAAACATCAAATAAATAGATGTTATTCACAGCCACCCTTTAAAGGTTTTATGAACAAAAATCAGACATTACTGACTGCCGCTCTCTAAAGGTGTTATTGAAGGTGTCATAGAATGGAAAACTGTATTTATATTGGTTAAGTTGAACAAGGTTCAATGAACTGAAATACAGTCAACCTCTTCCTTCAAATACAAATCTCTGCATTTGCAAAATAGTGCAGAAAAACGGGCCTAAATCCCAAATCCAGAAACCTAAACTGTTACGTAACAGTCTTGACTCTTTAATATTTACACCCCCAGAATTTACATACACCAGCCCACGTTCTAGCCCAGCCGGACACAATGACAACGAGGCTAAAGTTGTCTTAATAATCTAATGTTCCGTTCCTCCTTAAACGCTTCAGCTTGTACAGGCACCAGAATGTAACTGTGGCACCATTTAAGGTGGAATGCGAATAGGATTTCAGCTCCCACAACTTTAACACGATCCCAGACAGTTTTAATTCAAAGTTAGCCTGAATTTCACTCCAGACAGTTTTTCAAAGCTTGGACAGTATCGACCAGCTTTGCTCAGCAGACACGGACAGTTCCATTTATTAGTATCACACCCCCAACAGCAGCCTGTAAGCAGCCATGCTGGGTGATTTTATCCACTTTAATTTACTTTGTGTTGTCGAGATCAAAAGCAAGTAGCTGAAGTAGGTAACGTTAGCTACCAGCAAGCTCTGAGTAAAAGGACGACTAAACCTATTTACACTGAGGTTTATTTTATTGTCCTGCCTGTGTCTATTTCGACATGTTGCTTCTGTCTGAGCCATCACAGTGCCTCACTGTAAATCAGCCAACCAGAGCAGAGCTCATCAGATTATTCATGAGCCCCCCAAAAAGGGAAAACAGGATGTTTCATTCTAGGGCCAAATCGTAGGGCTGTAAATAGGTGTGTAAAACTGCATCTAGGCAATTTTCACCCCGACTAAAGTCACAAAACCTCTATGTAGACAGAGAACAATTTAAAATGGTGATTAAATGCATCTATGGCACCTTTAATGAACAGCAAATAAACAGACATTACTCACTGCTGCCATCTAAAATGTCATTAACAAACATCAAATAAATAAATATTACTTACCGTCGCCCTCTAGAGGCATTATTAACAAGCGTTAAATAAGTAAATTTATTGCCCTTTAGCAATTTTATGTACGACAAGTTGTAATCAGTGACCTAAATCTTAATTTGTCTAGCGTAAAAGCATTCATGATGTACATAGTCACTAAGCAAGACTACATATCAATTGGATTTCAAATTGGATCGATTGGCCTTCGTAACACTAGCGTTCGGTCAACTGAAGAGAGATTTCCATGCTGGTCTAGCGTATGTCATGTCTTATCTAAGCTCATATCAAATAAAGATTGAAGCTAGCAAATGAATCCTATCGTCTCTGGCCAGTTCGTAGTTGGCATTTAAATGTAGTTCATCTGTAGAGCAGTGAACGAAGCAGCCTCTGCAGAGCTTGCTCACCTTTAGCTTTACTTCTGGCCAGCTGTTGCTTAAGAGTGGCCGGCTTATACAGCCCTGCTGAATCCATCTCAGCTGGGTTCAGTCTGCAGCTAATTAGGTAGCCCTGTCCCCCCAGCCAAGCGAAATGAGGTCAGGTCATGATGAAAAGGTGTTGAAAAGAGCAATTTCTTACAGCCTCATGCAGCCGTGTCCCTTCATGATTGAGTCTTGCTTATTACAAGCAGCTTGTTGTGCTGATGCTGAGGGCTTGTGGACAGCTTTGGTAGGATGGTAAGATGGTTAGCTTCTGCTAGCCGCTCTCCACTGTTGTCACTACTCCATGCACAGAGCACTGAAGTGGCTACTTAGACATGTTTATTCAGATTATCAATTAGTCAGCTAGCCAAGCTTTGTACAGGGAAGCTCTGGTTACTGCTTCTTCAGCAGTATCCTTCAGAGATAAATAATAGAAACACCATTGGAAACACCCCCTCCTGACTTCTTCATATGTTTGCATATTTGTCACACTTAAGGGTTTCAGAACCTTTTACAAAATGTAAAGACAACAAAAAAAGAAGACAACACAGGAAAAGTTTTGCTGTATCATCCATGTGAAAAGTAACTGTCGCCCTAAAGTTGATAACCGCTGGTTGTGCCGCCTTTAGCAGCAACAAATGTAAACATATGTTTACGGTTCTGTCACAGCAGCTCAATGATGTTCAAGTCAAGACTTTGACTGGGCCACTCCAGAACCTTATTTTTTTCTTTTGAACTGTTCAGAGGTGGACATTGTCTAGCTGCATAACCTGGTGAGCTTCATATCCAGGTTTGATGACTGGACATTCTGCAGGCATGCAAAGCATCACCACACCATCATACTACCACTGCCATGTTTCACTGTTGATATGATATATATAATAAAATGGGCTTTTATGATCCTCTTGGTGAGCAGTGGTTTTTGAATTGTATCTGATTGATATTTCAGATTCTCTCAGCTCTTTGGGAATTTCTTTTGATCTTGGAGTGTGCTTCTTGGTGACAACGTACTTCACATTGTCTGCTTAAAGGAACAGTGTGTGAGATTTAGAGGGATCTATTTGCAGAATAGAGTAACAAAACACATTGTTGTGTTTTCATTAGCTTAGAATGAGCCCTTCATATCTACATAGGAGTGGGTCTTCTTCCATTTAGAGACTGGCATGTTTCTACACTAGCCCAGAACGGACAAACCAAACGCTCTAGAGAGTTCCTTTTGCATTTTTATGTTGAAGCGGCTGCCGGTGCTGGCTAACCAGTTTGTGCTGTGAGAAGTTTGAGAACCCAAATTTTGACAAATGAGGGGGATCATGCTTATTATTTGGCACAAGAAAAAGCAAGGGAGGGTGAAGGGAGGGGGATTCAGTTGGTTGCAGCCTTACCGCTAATACCACTAAATATCACGCGCTGCTCCTTAAGTGCTGTTTATATTGAACAGGTTTGGCAGTAATCAAGTCTGGGTGTGTCTAGTTTAATTAATCCCAATTATCAACAAAATTTGATTAGCTAGTTGAGTAACTATGGGAGTAATTACTGTTGGTAACTGAAATGCACATTTTAAGCTAAAAATAAATTAAACTGTATTGTGTGTTAACTTGGATTGTCCAGTTGTATTGAATTTCTGAAACAAGATGACAAATGTGCAAAAATTAAAGAAATCAGGAAGAGGCAAATATTTTTCTCAGCACTGTAGCGATAAAAAACACACAGTGCTCCAGTTCCACATGCTGATCCATTTTACTATGACCAACGTGGGCATGCACTCTCAGTAACTGCTCATGCAACAGATTTTTATGAGTTTTAATGAGGAAAGGACTCTGAATAGATCAAACGTCAGGGATGGAGTTAATGTGTGTTTGTGTCTGTGAGTGCAGCTAGCTTTAAAATCCCTGAATACCTGTCTGTGTAATTCATGCATTAACAGTTGCTCATCTGGCTGCCTGCTGAATTAGCTCTCTGCTCTATTTACACACCGGTCATTATTTATTAATGTCTTGGTCTTGTATTGATTATCTCCTCCTGTTCAGCTAATGAGCACCGCATACTTTACCTTTACAGAACCCCTGTGTATAGAGCCAATTAGACACTGCCCAGCTATCTGAGCCATAATTACCTCTGTCCTCACCACTCTGCCCTCTGCAACATGTACACAGTGAGACCCCCACAGATAAATCCTTACTCACAGAGAGGTATGCAGTTAGAATGTTGGCAATTTCTGATTCTCTGCTTGCTTCGGTTGAATTTGGGTTTGTGTCATCTTTTCCTTTGACGTCATTGACAGCAGGGATAGATTCCGCTGCTTTGTTGTGATCTTTAAGTGCAAATATTAGACAAAACTGTATGTGCTGTAACTTGACTGGCCCTAAAGGTTTTGAATGTCTTTTGATGTCATTTGACGTTGTTTCACATAAATAGATCATGAACGTGAAATTTCAAGGAGACTCTAAAGGAAGCCAGTTTTTCAGTAGTGCTTGTTTGAATATCCTTTTTCACCAAATAACAGAACACTCAAGTAACCTAAAAGTGTCCTATCCTGTGTCGAAATTGTAGCAGTTCTACTGACAAATGTATTTGGTGCAGTGTACATTTGAGTGTTATTGTGACCGAACTGACCAAATTACAAGATAACATGCTTTTTTATTCTGAACTACACATGCCTTATTTGAACACCCAGCTAAACAAAGGAGTACTAAGATAAGTTCAGATGTCCATATTTTCAAATGATCACGCCCATCCCTACTAGATCCCTGCTGAACTGTATATGCAGTGAAGAAATTTGCTGTTAACCCACGTCTTCACAAAATGAATGTAACCCCTTTCAGTACTTTTTTTACGTTACATTACACAAGAAGTAGAGGACACTCTGCCTTTCTTTCTCACACAGAATGCAGAGGGCTTCAACATGAGCATCCCGATGCCTGGCCACCCTGTGAATTTTTCAGAAGTGACGATTGCACAAGCACAACGAGATGTGGAACAGCTGGAGGCACTCATTTCGGCTCATGACGTCGTTTTTCTGCTGATGGACACTCGAGAGAGCCGATGGCTTCCCACAGTCATAGCTGCCAGCCAAAGAAAGGTAGCATATATATATAATATATACTAGCTGGCGTTAAAACAGTGTCAAACTTTAATGAAAACTGACCACAAGAAATGGCCAAAATGAAGTAAAGTCTTGTTACTTTAACTTACAGTGATAGTTAAGAATGTTTTTGCTTCTCCTGTAGAGTTAATTTTTGAAGATAAAAGGTTTTGTCCTAGCAGTGCCAATATATAAATAACTGCTACAATTAAGAAAATAAATCAGTGTTTTAATTTATAATATTTCAGTCACAAATGAGATTTTAACTTACTTTCAATGAGTTTGTTTGTTTGTTTGTTTGTTTGTTTATTTATTTAAATATTTAATTGTGAACCCTGCTGGCCTTTGCCTGGCGTTGATAATTGTTAAAGAAATTGTTGTATAAATGAGATTTCACTGAATAACATTTTGGTGGCTATTATCTTAATGAATGGGAGAATATTACCGCTGATGATTTTGTTGCATTCATTAAATACGACTAAAAAGTAGAACACAGTGCTGTGGTCACTGCAGAGCACTTTATGAGGTCATCTTGAGTTCACACTAATGTTATTTTTTAGCCTATTGCTTAGTCAGACACTGTTCACTTGTTCAGTAGTCCTTGTCCATCACTTTAAAACCAAATTAACTTTCCTCATCCTAACATCTCTGTCAAAACAGCTTATCGTTAATGCTGCTCTTGGATTTGACACCTTTGTGGTAATGAGGCATGGCCTGAAAAAACCTAAAGCCTCAGATGCTGGAGACTCCAGCCCTTCATCAGCTTCCTCTCTGTCTGACTCATCTTCATCCTCCACTCCAGCAATACCAGGTAGGGCAGACAACTGTGAAGAACACCTTAAATGAGAGTTATATTATTGTATGTCTCTCTTCTGTTGAACAAAATTGCCTGTCTAAATCCAGCGCAGGTCAAGTGGTTGATTTAGCAATGTGCGTCTTCTGCCATCTAGTCTTATTGGGGTTTAACAGAATCACAGAATTTCTTGGCCTTAAAGAAACAGGATTTTTATTCTTAAAACTAAAGTATAAGTTTGAGAGTAGTTTTATTTAAATATGTCGCTGTACTGTGTTAGAGGAAAAGACATGAAACTTGTCATTGTATTGACACAGAAACCAGCGACAGCTCCCATTTCTGGATGTTGGCAAACATAAGCAATCCACTTAACAGTCCAAACTGTAATTAAAAGGAATAAACTATAAAGCATTCAGTCATAGACATGAATTCTCAATATATAAGAGTTCTTAATAATAAATCACAGTGAAACTCTCAATCACACAGTCACAGTTGATTACAGTTGATTCTTGAAAAATAAATGTCAAAGAAGGGCTCACCAAACTTCATGTTAGGAATCACATGTAGGAATGTTTGGCCCAAAACCCACCAAATATTTATGATGTGGATAAAAAAGTCTTTTATAGGGACCCACTCTTCCCCACTCTGCGACCCACCAGCTTCCTTGCCATCCGTGCGTCCTCATATTGCAACCCACCAGCTTCTTCTTGACCCTCTGTTCCCCGAGACTGCAGCCACCTGCTCTTTGTCTGTCCACTCATCCCCATACTGCAACCCACCACCTTCCTTGCTGCTTGCTCATCCCCATACTGTGACCCACTCATCCCCATGCTGCAGCCCAGCAGCTTCCTTGACACGCACTCATCCACATACTGCAACCCACTCGTCCCTATTCTGTAACCTGCCAGCTACCTCATGACCCACTCGTCCCTATTCTGTAACCCACCAGCTTCCTCACGATCCACTCGTCCACATACTGCAACGCAACAGCTTCCTTTCCCACTCACTTGTTCCCATACTGCAACCCACTTGTCCCTGATATGCATCCCATTAGCTTCCTTTACGACCTACTCATACCCAAAATGCGACGCACTTGGCCCCAAACTGCAAACCCACTAGCCTCCCAGTCACCCTCTCGTCCACATACTGTAACCCACCAGCTTTCTTGCCACTTACGCCTGCCCATACTGCGACCCACTTGTCCCCATACTGCAGCCCACCAGCTTCTTCACGACTCACTCATCCCCCTGCTGCAACCCAGCAGTGGGTCGTGACACACAGTTTAATTTCTGCTTTCAACTCCAGCCCTGCATGTGTTTGATGACTTCACATACACACAAGAACACTGGTTCAAAAGGTTTAGTTTCTGGTGTCCATGTTGGTTGGTGGGTCAGTGGAGTGGAGTCAAAGTGGTTGATTTTGGACAGTATAACGTCACTGTGGGAGCCTATTTTTTTCTCAGGTCATCACATATATGCCTCCAGTCCTAGCTCACCACTCCTTTCCTTTCAAAAAGCAAAGGCATGTAATGTCCTTATCCTAGACTTTGACGTTATTATTTAATGAAATGTTCATATTTTTAGGAGCATCTCTTTTCTCCAACATACCTGGGCACCGACTTGGCTGTTACTTCTGCAATGATGTCGTTGCTCCTGGTGATGTGAGTTCCTTGCGTGTCTTGCAATCTTCATCATTTCTTTGTTCTCTTTTTAGCAAGGGCGTCTGACTGATAAATATTCAGATTGCCCAGTTGAATGCTTTGTGTAGGCATGGTAAAGTGTATGATTAGCCTTGATTTGAAGGTGCATGCTGTTATTCTTGTCACAGGCGTATGTTAAATCAAGCTTTTTTGCTCTAAATGTAACCACCTTTGTTCAAGCAAAATGTAATAACCATGTCAATATACAGGTTAGAGCCGGACCAGTCTACTAGTTGGCCGATAAACTTGGCTGATATTGATGCCCTATGAATTTATTGGTATCAGTGAAAATATTGCTGGTAATGTGCCAATAATAAGCAAAATTATTGCAACCAAAAAAGTTGCTAACCTCACTATTAGCATTGGAATAATATGTTATAACACTCTGTTTTTAATGAAGAAAACTGAAATGAAGAAAAATAAATAATTTACGGAAACCAGATGGCAAAGAACTCCGGGAAGTAACTCCTCTCACAATGCTACAATGTTACAACATTTTTTGGATTGTTAACTGACCAACATGATTGACAATAATGAGACATTGTTATTATATTTACCAAGTTATTGATTGTGGTGCTAAAATTATGTTTTACAGTCGACCCGGGACAGGACACTGGACCAGCAGTGTACAGTCAGCCGGCCTGGTCTTGCTATGATAGCTGGTGCCCTGGCAGTGGAGCTGATGGTCTCCATACTCCAGCATCCAGAAGGGTAAGTGCTACATCCTCCCTCGTCTTCTAAGACATATAACACAACATGTAAGTGTTTTATTATAAAGGAGAAAATTAACTGCTTTTCAGTGTCAGGTGCATAATTTTCATTGCTATGCAGATGACACAGGTTATATATTTCGATTTCACCCGATGCCAAAGGCCCCTTTGACAGAGTAATTAAATGCATTGACTATATTAACATTTGGATGTCTTAACTTTCTCCAACTGCACAGAGAAAACGCTGAAACCCTGAGTTTTAAAATAGTATCCGAACGATTTTAAGCCTTTTTGTTAATCTTGGTGTGCTTTTAGATTTAAATTTGGAAATCCATATTAAAAATGTCACCAGAACAGCCTTTTATCATCTTAGAAATATTGTGAGGGTTTAACTGTTCCTCACTTGTGTGGATGCTGAGAAGCTTATTCATGCTTTTGTAACTAGTAGGTTGGATTCCTGTAATGCTCTTCTTTCTGGTCTTCCTAAGAAATCCAGTAAGTTACAATTGATTCAAAATGCTGCTGCACATGTTCTCTCCAAGACCAGAAAGAGAGCCTATATTACTCCTGTCCTAAAGTCCCTCCACTACTTAGCCAGTAAGTTCAGAATTTTAGAAATAATTCTGTTAGTTTTTAAGTCTGTTCATGGGCCAACCCCCAAATATGTGCAGAATATGATTAAATTTTATGAACCAAAGAGACCTCTCTGCTCCTCTGCCATTAATCTACTCGCAGTTTCCAGGGCACAGACAAAGACGTACAGAGCTTATAGCGTATATGGCTCTCGCCCCCGGAATAGCTTGCCAGAGGACTTGAGGGCAGTGCTGTCTGTTGACGTTTTTAAACATGACCTTGAGACTTACTTTTGCAACAGTGCATTTACTTGATAATCCTTTAGTCTTGTTCTAGTATCATTTTGATATTATTTTTCACTAGATGTCAATTACTGTAATATTCTATGTTTTATTATTTTTATTTTATAGTTTTGTTGTCATAATTATCTGTGTGTAATTTATTTTTTTCATTTTGAAATGTACCTGGTTATACATTTAGTTTTATGTTCTTATTTCTTACACTCTCTTTTCTGGGTTCTCTTAGCACAATGAGGCTTTTTAAGTGGTAGAGCGAGTACCACACTCAACTCTTTCTACCAGTAAAGATGATATGAACACTAAGATGCTTTTGGAAAACTTGGCCCTGTAAAGTACTTTGATTTTCAACTACAGCATATAGGAACGATGCTATGTAAACAAAGATTTAATTGATTTGATAATGTCCAGCATCAAAGAAATGTCAGTATATCATTACTTTCGTAAGGACTTTTTAAATTTCTGTTGGTCCATTTATCATGGAATTGTTCAGGTACCTTGTGATGTTTAATGATTAGCAGCTTGAGAACATGTAGTCGCTTCACATGCAGAGCTGTTGTGGTCATAAATTTTCAACACTGCGATATTTTGGTGTGATGCCACTGGCAGCAGTGTGGTGTTAGGGTGGCACACATGCAAAACTTTAATTATTATTATTTTCTTTTACTTCTTCAGCCTTTAAAAAAAAGACCTGTATTTTTTCTATCTTGATTAAACTGTCTTAGCTAATTGCAAGCTGTGTGTTCATTTAACGTAAAATATCAAACTGCACAAATTAGGATAACACACTATAGTGCAGGTGTCTCATGCTAGGCGAGCAGAAAAAGTAGACTTGAAGCTTTAAGATTTCGTTGTTCATGACTGCTGTAGCAGACCTTTGCTGCTTGCTGGGGGTGGGATTCAAACAGCAGGTGGGAATGGATAATGACTAATCCTGCGGAGAAAAATGCTTTTCTGAAAATAGAGTATTTGTATTGTATTGTGTCAGACAGTTCCGCTTTTGCGTCATCTGATTGGCAGAACCGCATTTGAAGCTGATATAAAATTCTCAGTATGCACACATATAATGTGCACATCAAATAAATACCGTATTAATGTGTCAAGTAATCAAAAACCATTGTGCTGGTCATTGAATACTCTGACTCTTATGCTGTTTGGTAACCATAGTCTGCTCTTATCAAACTACACTGCTTGGCGGAAGAACTCAAGAATCAATAGTGATTATTGTTAAGAAAAGAAATTGCAATAAACATTATGTTGTGCCTAACATTTCTCCTTAACCATGGTAAATCACTGTATGCATGGCCTCTTGTGGCTTATTGCTTTACTAAAAGCGATGTATTTTCTACGCAGCAGTGTTATACCATCCTCAGTCCTCAGTTTTTCTGTATTTGCACACATTTACTTTGGATTAGAGACATTGCAAGAGAAGTGAGGTAAGCACTGTTCTCTAACAGAAGGTCAAGAACATAACCACCTTAAATCCAAGCAGCCCAAAGCAGGCTCATTTCATCTTGCTTTCATGCCAATTAAGCCTAAATTGCACTGCAGTGATGTGTGTGTCCTTTTGTGTATCTTGCTAATGTACTTGCAGCGTGCGGAGCTCACTTTCTTCTGTGTTTACTATGTGTGGATGGATTGGAATGAATGGGCCACTCGCTGCCCCAGATAGAACTATCATCTTACTGTGAGACTCTCTTCACATGCATTAGACCATTATGGCGAAAGCTTCTGCAAGGGCTGGATAAAAGGCTTTGGACTGAGCGCGACAAAAGACGACTCAAAGAATGGGGAGAGGTGCAGAATTGCAGGGAAGTTTTTCACTCCTGCAGAATGGTCATACTTTTTCACTGAAGGAGAGCAGCTAGAGTTTCTACATACGGAAAATCTCAATGAAAAGGAACCACAGCCCACAGTCTGTCATTTGAGTCAATATTAAGATGCCCTCAGATTTATTGGTATTGGAGAAAATCTCACCAATAAACATCAATATTTATAATAAGCTTACTTTGTATTATCATGAACAGAGAGCTCTAATATGAAGGAAATCTCTGACTTCTGGGAATTATGCTCTTCTGCCAGCCAGAGATTGCAGAGCTAACCGTCACTGATTGCTTACCTTGTACTACAGCAGTACAGGCTGAGCTAAGGCTGGACAATGTAGCATGTGTACCAGTATACAGTTGTATGGACATGCTATGATATTGCATTTTAGTTTTAGCATGTTTTTTGCAACATATTTCATATGTAATAAGCATTATATTCATGATCCATGACATAATGTTCATACAAAGTAGTGTTCTCACAGGATTTTTTTTACTTAGCCACCTAAATTTAAACTTCAGGCTAACCCTACATTTTGTATCTCACACCGCTGGATCACTTTTTACAAAGGAGATAATGCTGGACACCTGTTCCAAGGCTAGTTAAGTTTGGGATTTTTGGATTGTAAACATCCTTTGGACCAGTCAGGGCTGAGCTTCTGGCAGGGGAATTTTTTCATGACACACTTTCATGTTTTTTTTAACGGTTTTCATCTTTTTTCACAAGCTAATTGTCACTGGCTATGTTTTTGTTGTGTGGAACACAATCAAGGCATCTAAAAAAAGATGGCACTGCAAACACTTAACTACTTCTTGATGTTTGTGGCATCAGTCAAGTGAATATATTGCTTTTCAGTGGTGGAAATAGATCATACTACATAAATATGAAGAATATAAATCAGTGATTACTCCAATAAGCACTAACATAGTGACAATATTGACAGTGTTGCTTTTTGCCATTATAAATGCACCACAAAATCTATATTGATATTAAATGTTTGTTAGTCAGGCCCTGCTGTGAATGTAGATGCTGCAGAGTAGGGAAGGCTTCACAGATGCTGCTTTTCCCCAAACTGTGAAAGCTTGTTCTTCAGTGGTAAGAGCTTGACCCACGGCAGTAGCTGTGGCTTCGTGGGTAAGGGCACCGTGCCAGGAGCGATGAGGTTGTTTGATTGAATCAAAGTCTATCAGCCTTCGCATCTGAGGGATTCAGGCTGTACGGACCCCAGAACATTTGTAGTGCCCTTAAGCGAAGCACTTAACCCCAAGTTGCCTTTTCCCACACTACAGTAGACGTGAAGAACCCTGATGGCCTCAAACTGTAATTGAAAATTGAAACTAGGTCTTTTTTTTGTTTGCAATTAGTCAAAAATATTTATTGGACTAAATATATATTTGAATTTGGGTCAAATATGTTTGGCAGTAAATCGGTTCAGTTAAATACTTAAATTGCCATTTAACAAATGCAAAATGCAAAAATCTTCCCTAGATTTTTAAATATGTAACTAAATCCATTACATTTCAACTTTAGAAATAGTCATTGGCTCTTGAAAGTCACAGTTATCACCAGCACATTAACAAAAGCTGTGTTGTAATTTTATTTAAGTTTAATGTAGTGTTTCTCACTCTTAGCTCATTGAAAAAGCAGAAGTCTGTTGAAAGTATATATTCTAAACTTGCATTTAACATTACATTTACCAGCCTTATGACCTTGTGGATTTAAGTACAGGAAATGTTATGCTTTAATATATTTGATGTGAAGTTATTGTTTAGAACAAAACAAACAAAACATCTTTTGTATTTTTTGGACATTGAAACTAAGAACAGTCAGAAGTGCAGGCTCAAACTTGTCGTTGCATAGTTTAAAAAAGATTACATCACTCACTGTATAATTTCTCACAATAAAAAGTCCTACCAACAGGGTGAATAGGGGCTTACAAAGTATGCAGAGAAACAGATGTGCAATCCAAGAACTACAAAATGCACCTATATAGTAATTTGAGTGTAGATAGAAGGAAGTCTTCCCAATAAAGTGCTCAATGAGTGTGTAGTTATGTTTGAAATGGTATAATAAAGTAATAATTAAATGACTTTTAAGGGTTAATCTATTATGGTGGTAACTGTGCATTTCATAATGCAGTGAACACCCAGTGACCAACTTAAAATCAGCCATTCATCTTGCTAATGAGTGCTGCAGACCTCACAGTGCACTCCAGAATGCCAGCATCTTCATCTCACATTCTGCCTCACTGCAGGCTTAGCTCGCAGCCTTGAGGAGAAAAATGAGTAGAGGAAAAGTAATTACGCTGCGGTGTGAAGAACACATCAGGGGAGGCACTGTGGGTTTGGAGAGGAGAGACTCAGTGAAGTCCTGCCTTAAACAGCGACAGAAGAGGGTCTAAGCCAGCACTGCTGAATGTTCACATCATTAAAGTAAAATCCCTTCAGATTGAATGTGCTGAGTTTTATATTCAGTTTTAATGAACATTTATCATGGCTTTCGCATTTTACGTACCTAACATTTAACATTTCTCTTCAAAAATGATCTGCATGGAGCACACTGTGACATTGTCTCCCAGCCTAGAGTCAGATCAGCTTTGAGCATCGATACCTAAAGATGCAACAGAGCTTTTAATAATAATAATAAGGCCAAATAATAAAATAAAAACAATAATCATAGTCTTTCAAAGACTGTGTGTAAAATAGAAGAGCAAAATGCTCAAAATTAGGACTGTCATAATTAGTCAATTTAAAATTGATTACTTTTTTAAAAAATAGTTGGTTTAAAATTTATGTTCTTAGTGATCGACTTATGAATAGTTCACAGTTTGAATGATGAACAATGTCAAATATAAAGATATGTATACCCTATATTAGTACTGTATATAAATGTAATTTATAATATACATTATGGTGATGAGGTTAAAGATTCTCCCCAGGGTGGCACTATTAGCACTACTTTTTAGAGCAACGCTGAAAAAGGGGAAACCCACACCAGCAGGATCTCACAAATACACATATCGCTGCTGTCGTAAGAAAACCTTGTATCTCCATTTTTGTAGTTTTTCAGTTTTTGACATAATTTGAAAATGCCTGTTGCGCTTTACAGTGTGTGTATATTTCATGAAGAATGTACCAAAGGAAACAGCTCAGAATTACTTGGGAAAAAGTCTGGTTCCATTGACTTACATTAAAAGTAAAGCAGGTTTTTTCCTTCTCCTGTAAAGTTACCATTTTGGAGATACAAGGTTTTCTTCCAACAACAGCGACATGTTTATTGTAACACATTTCTTGTTTAGGTTTTATTTAACAAGGTCTAGGCTGAACAGTTTAACAGAAAGCTGGTACGCTTCTCCAGTGACTCAAAGCAGCATTAGATTTCTCAAAATGGCATTAAAAATGACTTCAAAAGCATTCAGTTGAATTTGCTGATACCTGTGGATACACTCATCATATATGTTTTAAATTCTGCTGCTGCTCTGATTTACAGACCCATTTATTTACATATTTACCCACACAGGCTGTGTTTAGACTTGGCAGGTTTGGTTCAATTAAAATAAATCTTTGTGCATGCTTAATCAGGGCGAGTGAGAGTGCTGCCATTTGAACTCTGGTGCACCATATAAGAGGACTGAGACCCCCTGAGCAGGTGGTTCTCACTTCACTTCAGAACGAACTCTGGTGCGATTTGTATTAAGTATGAATGTAATGCAGAGCGAAGACGGAACAAACCGTTGTCTCCTCTCTGCAGAAGTTCTTTGGTTTGTAGAAGAGTTTCTGATGCTGTTGCGACACATGCAAGCTTTATGTCATCTCTTTATGAGCTCTGAGTCTGTAATTATGCATTGGAGTGTTTGGGTTTTAAAACTATGCTGAGGCAAGTTTGAAGTCATTATAAACTATTTAACATTAGACTGCACACTTAAATGAAATGATATAAAGGTAGTAAACTGTCACTGGGGCAGTACCCCTCTTGTCCCTGTGGTGATGCCCCCAAGGGTACATCTCAGTACCTTTAGTCAGGGAACATAATTGTACCATAATCCACTGAAATTATATTTTCTAAGTTATATTGACTTCACACACCCCGTCTCGTCTCCAGGCTCTTTATTTTATTGTTCTGTTTTGAATCATTAGGTTATGAAAAGATACAAATACCTACTTTTCACCTGGAAAAACATATTTACAATTGGACCTTAAAACCACTGTTGTACCTTTGAGGTACATTTCCATTGTTTGTACCTTGATGAATGAAAAATGAACCTGCACAGAACCTTTATTTCTAGCAGTGTTTGCTGTGCTTTGTAACCATGGTAACGCAGGGAGTCTCATGGCTTATTGCTCTAATATCATAAAGCGGATGAAACAAGACGTAAACAAAACCAATGAGCCCAGAAAGAACACAGAACAGCACAGTTCAGGAAGTTTGGTGGACATTATTACAGTTGTTCTATGTCAGAAAATCTACCTAATCAGCTGTGACCTTTTGCTCATATGACTTTAGTTCACATCTTTTGTTTTGATGTTAAATATGTCAAGGTAAACACTAGAACTAAACAAGGCAAACCAGAACTAATGCAACAGTGTATCATTTCCTGCTTTGGTCTGGACCATCGGAACCAAACTACAAGTGTAAATGCACCCATAGTGTTAAGACCATTTGTATTGTCTGACCAGATTACTCGATTGATCATCAGAATAATCAGTTGATAAATTACTGATATCATTTATAGTGATAGCCTTTCAGTTGTAAATTGTGTCTTTAAATAAAGCCAGCAAAAACATTAGAAATGACTGAAAATGATTAATTGGCCTTATTCATTTTTAGGCTGTGCAAGTACTGAAGGTGCATTTCTTCAACCAAAGTCAAAAACTGGCATGCACATCATGTGTGTATTTCCTCAGGCTGTGTGGCTAAATGCAGAAGCAAGACAGACACGCTCACAGACAAGTGAGCTGAAATATAGATGGATTTTGAAGGAAATGATGCGTAAAATTCTTATTTGGATTTGGTTGAGAAACATTTGAGGACGGAGGAATCCAGACAGGCTTTAATATTCATAGTGTCTGTTCTTTCTCTTTTTTCTCTCTCTTTTTTTTTTTCCTTTCAGAGGCTATGCAGTGGCCAGTAGCAGCGATGACCGCATGAATGAGCCCCCGACCTCACTTGGCCTCGTCCCTCATCAGGTCAGTCGCTGTGCTCATCCAGAAACCTCCCTCCCTTTCATTCACTCCTTCCTTTCATCCATCCAGACACATGGCTTAGTTAGGCATTTGCATGTTTTTATTACACTTCATTTTGCTAAATGTGTACTCATGTGTAAACTTTTTCGATTTTCTTCATTTAAATGCAAAAGATGTTTCCTTCCTTCCTCATTTAGAGAATGGTGGTTTGTTTTGGGGTTTTTTTGAGTTTCAGTTAGGGACAAACATTGCAAATTAGCATATAGGTATAAGAGTCATTATATAGGGAGTCTCATTTGAGTCCACAACACTCGTATATAAGAGAAAAATCTGCTAATTGTTTATCAGGCTAAAATATATTAATAGATAATCATGCAAGCAGTTAATTGCATGATTTTGTGCAGTTTACAGTGATTAATTGCATTTTTCTTATTTGCTCAAATTTGACCCTAAAGAAAGAAATGTTCTGTCCAAATAAGCTTCATCAGAATGTTTTTTACTTTACTTTCAATAATTCTGAACTGAACATGTATAGGGTGAACACAGTTTTGAGCACCAGCGTGCAGTGAGAGCAACAGCGGCGCGGCTGCATGTTTCAACCTATGACTGTGACATACATATATATATATATATATATATATATATATATATATATAGTTGTTCCATCTTCTACATGATTACCTCTGTTATGTCTTATTTGGAAAACTGTAGTTGTGCACTTTGCTGTTGATTTTGTCTGCTGTCCAGTAATCTTACTTCAGACTAAGCGTACTTCACTTCAAACAAATTCACAACATGGGGGTGACTGGAAAAAAAACTTTATTTGAAGCAAAGGACTACAGTCACGGAGTCATAGTATGTAAGCAGTTGTATATACTTCAGTGTTAATGGTGTCTTTGTAGGTGTGCAAATTACCCACTAAAACCCCACATACCATGACAGACCCTGTCTTATAACTTTACACTGGTAACAATCTGCATAGTCCTTTTCTTCTTTGACAGAGCTGTGTTCAAGTATTCTCGAGCCCATGTGGCGATATCCATTACAGAAGCATGTCAGTTTTTAGTACGGTGCTGTCTGAGGGGTCGAAGTTCACAGACATTCAGTTGTGGTTTTTGGCGACCCATCCTTGCTCAAAAAGTGTTCAGCCTTTACTGGACGTCCCTTTTGTACCCAGGCACGATTGCACTTGCTTAAGATGTTTCTGAACATTTCACAATGTTCCTGATCTTAAATTTTCCCAGCTTCAACTTGTTTTGAATGTTTTGCAGGATTCAAATTTAGAATTGGCACATATTTACAAAAAAACAGTGAAGTAGAAGTAGAAGAAGTAGATGGGGTGTCAAACTGAACAACTAAAAGGGCCAAATAGAAAATAGATCTTAACAATCCGTGTTCTTCGTTTTTTTAAATTAACAATTGACAGTTTTGCTATGACCCGAACTGGCCAATGTATATAGGCACTTATAATAGACATTGAGATATTACATGAATACTGGAACTTTTCAAAATAGTTTTAAATGAAAACATTTTTTTACATTTCAAATATAAATAAGATTTTTTTTTATATAAAACAATAGGCTACATTAGCGACAGATAACAGTTAAACCTCTTTAAATGTCTCCAGGAGGGAGTTTTTTAAAACTGTCTGTTTGCTTTAACTAGACACCTGGCATTTTCTAGTTGTGCAGGCTGGGGATTGTAGGGCAGCTCATGGTAAATTGGGCTAATATTAATAGAAAATTAATACAATTTCACAGGCCGAATAGTATTGTTCCATGGGCCTTGTGTTCGACACATGGGAAGCAGAACATGAAATATCTTGTCTTTGTACTGTTTTTATTTAAATACAGGTGAAATGATTGATACCACATCTTTCTGTTTTTGCATTTCTGGTTTGCATTTCTCATACTGTTCTAACTTTTTTTTGGAATTGGGGTTTGTAGTTTTGTGATGTCACAAAATGATATGCTTACAGAGTTATTTTTGCTAAGGTTAATATGTAATTGAAATGGTGGAGGACAAGAAAAAACGTGTGATTTCCTGACATGAACATTCAAATTATGATCTCCATTTGGCACCAATCTTGTGGAATGGCTTATAGCTGTTATGATGATACGGAATCAGACTGTTCCTTTTAATTTTCTATGTTTATGTCTTTCCTTATTAAATAAACGTAAAGTATATCTGCAAACAGAGAGTAAGGTAGGCGGGGTGTCAGTATTCCACTTACGGTTACTGTTGCCAGCGTGAATCAAACTCCCCCCTTCACAGGAGCTGCCTGTATCATCCTCTCTTCACGGCTGGGTTATATAATCTTTCCTAAATATCCCTTATTACTCAGAAGGGTGATGCCCCGTCATTACAGTGGTTCGGCAAAGAGGAAGTCATTTCTCCACGCCTATGTGTTCATTAAAGAAAGGCTAATTCTCTTTGGGACAATCTGGGCCAATTAGCTGCGGAAGCTTGCAATCAGGTCCATTGTGGGTGGAAGTGGCTAATGGACCCGGATGCGGTGGAGAGGGCTGCACAGTGAATGCAGGAGCATCAAGGCTGCTTTAGTTTAGTTTGGCTGATAACCGTGCACACAGGGAGGGAGGGAGGGAGGAGGGCAGGGGGCCAAGCACGTGACATTAAAGCGAACGACAAGCACTCTGCTGCATCAGTGTCGTGCTGCGAATTTATGAAGAGGTAACTGAGGCGAGGCAATATTCTGCAGGGACTTAATCAGAAGTGCGGTCACAGATGATCCTCTGTTATCCTTTTTGATCAAAAACGAACGCTTGAAAATGTGACAGAGCCCTGGTCTATGAAGGTCAATGTCCATAAACTAAACCTTACCTTTACCTCCATTATCAAAAATAAATGGTGTTGCCCTTAAAAAATGCAAAAACTAATTTGAAGCTTTTGTTTAAAAAAAAAAAATGTGAGGGCAATTTTGTTGGTGCTGATGTTGTGGTTTTGTACTGTTTTTGTGTCTATTTGTCCTAAAAAATCAGAATATATTTGTTCTGGAAATGTATGAACTCTGTCAATTGCACATGTACACAGACAGGGTCCATGTCAGTCGAGGGTGACCTTAAAGTGCTCCTGTGTGATTGTTCAGCGCCTCGTCGCCAGGCGGGCAATCAAGGAAAGAAAGCGAGATTTTGTGAAATGGAGAAAAAAGCCAGAGCCGGGAACACGGGGAGAAGACTGCGAATCCGTTAATCCGTAATGAATAGGATTCCTCTGAAGGCTCTCCGCACCGAGGATGGTTATTCCGGTCTTGTTTGTCTTCAGCATTTAACGGTCGAATGCTCGGGGATGTTTGCCTGCTTTATAGTTTCCCTGCAGTCAGGGAGAGGAAAAGGGAGAGAGATGAGAAGGAAAAGAAAGCTGTAAAGCTGTCTCAGCGAGTTCCCACAATGCTCTCACCAAAGGGCTCTTCATAGCACCTGTCTGTGTACTGTGTACTATTGTGTTGGAGAAATGGATGCCCTTGAGGAAGTACTCCTGGAGCTCTGTTCAGTCTGACTGGGCTTGTGCTGGGGCTGCATTGTGTGAGCAAAATACTATTTTTGGCCATTATGTTTCAAAGTTGTGTATGCAGTTGATACTTTAATACCAATATCAGGAATACAAATAGGAAATAACAGTAATAATTTACTGTGTCCACTCTTTTATTACAGCTTCCTTTTTTTTTTTCACTTTCAGTTCCTCAAAAAAACTTGCAGACACACCTCCAAAGTTCAGTCTTAGAAGTTGGTTGATCATTTTCTGAAGTAATCCAAACACATTCAGTGATGTTGAGGTCTGGACTCCAGGGTGGTCAGTCCATTGTTCAGCTTCTTTGTTTGACGTGTCTGTCTCCTTTTCTCAGTGAGGTTCTTCTTGACAGATACACGTCCTTTCAGACCCATAGTGCTGAGTTGTCTTCTCACAGTGGAAGGATGGACAGAAACACCTGTGGATGTTTTCAGATCTGAAGCAGCTTGATTTTCTCCTCTCTCTCAGAGATGAAAGCTTTTAGTGCTGTTTATCTGATGGGGGCAGTTTTGGTGTCTAGCAGGTCTTCCAGGTAGTTGTTAGGAGGCCCATTTTCTCTGTAGCTTTTAATCTCTTTTATACTTCATTTTGGAAACTTTTCACTCTGCTCGTTATTTTGTTTAGCATCTGTTTTGTTAGCCTTTGTTATGCCAGCATGTGAAGTCAACACTCTGGTCTTAAATTTGAAGTCAGCACTCTTGGCTGAGCTTGGCTTTGCACAGTAAAACAAATTTTTAACCCCTGAGAGTTACATTCACTGCCTTGAGAGCACAGCAAAGGCAAATGGCTTGAGTCTTACAGTAAACTAGCAGTTCTTAACTTAACGCTTTTGTAAAAAGGTATCAGAACTTTGTCTTTTCTTTGGTTTTCAGTTTTCATCAGGTCATCCAGTATTTCAGCTTCAGTAATACATTTTGATTTTGGTGACCTCACTGAGCTGCATGGTCATATTTAATACATGGTGCAGTGTGTCTTTCAGCTCCATCTATAATAAAGTGCTTCACAAAGTGCAACTGCCAGACCCCCTGCCTGCGCACCGAGGCTCAGCGCAGCGCTTCAGCAAGACTTCCCACATACACACGCATGTGCGGATACACACACTCTCACGCGTGTGGGGGGCTAACGACAAAGCCGGAGACATCAAAGCAGAACGCTCCGGGTTATTAACTACATCGCATTTAGCAGCATGCGCTACACATGTGGCCCCAAACAACATAATGTCATCTTCTCCAAGAAGCCCTAATTGCAGAAATGTGAGCCTTCACACGTAACCTGATTAATTACATACACTACTCAGGCTTTTGCATGCTTCTTGTCTCTGGCCTCACGAAAAGGCAGCAGGGAAGGTAGGACACGCCATCATGGGGTTGTTTGTTTTTTTAAATGAGGTGCATATTCTTGGCAGCAGATTAGCATGTTCCGCCTTTCCTTCGAGTATAAAGGGTGGCAGAGCACTCCATGTGCCGACATGGCAC